TGTGTCTCTGCCTCTCTCTCTCTCTGTGTGTCTCTCATGAATAAATAAATAAAATCTTAAAAATAAATACATGAAAGGTAAATTTAAAAAAGAAAAAAAAGAAATCCTGAGGTAATACTGCATTCCAAGACCTTGGCCCTGAGCTTATTCTTTGATGTGGCTGGATCTTGGGGACAGGCCAAGGAGAATAGAACATCTTTTCTCTGAGGGAGGGAAGGAGGAAGGGAGAAAGAGAGAGAGAGAGAGAGAGAAAAAATGAATTGAGTGAACCAAACCAAACTGCATTATCAGTAAACTTCCACATCGTGAAGAAGAGAATAGGGTGACATGAGGTTGGAGAGGTCTTCAGGGTTATTTTGCAATTTTCCTGTCTGCCCTTCAGAAATGAAGAGGTTGTTCATTCATTCATTGAAAAAAAATTTTAATTAAGCACCTACTCTGAATTGGGCACTGAGCTAGGCAAGAGGGAGATATCAGTGAAGCAAGTATCAAAGATTTATTGACTGCTTATGTAATGCCATGTTCTTGTTAAGCACTTGGTATACCTCCTGCCTTCAAGGACAATGTAACCCAGGGACTATTGGTGTTTCATTTACTTTTTTTTACAGATGGAGGATGGGCTAACTGAAGCTTAAGATGGTTTGATGGCTCACTGTGGGTCATAGAGTTATAAGTAAGCAACTTGGATACATCCCAGGGGCAACTTTTTCCAGCCCTAGTTTCACCTAGGCTCCTGGAGCTTCCCCCAGGGTACAGTAAGGGGCTGGCTTGGGGTCCTGCATGAGTCAGGCTGAACTGGGGATAAGCAAAGTTCCTGCTGTTCCATCCTGTTCTTGGCCTGAGCAAGGACACTATGTAAAGGGACGGATGTGGGCTAGGATAATAATGCCAAGTCACTGCTGATGAAAGCCTTGTGTGTTCACCTCCCCCCAGCCACCACCTGAAGCCTGTCTCAGCTACTATCCTTGTTGTTACACTCACAACCATCCCTCTCAGCTCCACTGACAACAGCTGGAATTGTGGCTCATGAACCAAAGACGTGTTTCCTTCCTTCTTTGGGGCTACCTCAGGGCTACCTGAGAACACAGCTGGATTCTGAAATCTTATTCTCCAATGCCTGGGATGCCCCTCTGGTTCCAGATAAAGGGAGAAGCATGGGTTCTGTGAACTCTTTTTGAGTGGGATCATGACGAAACAGTCCAGTGATCTCTTTCTTCTATTTTGAAGTGAAGAGGAACATGGCCACACTACTTACTGACCAGTGAGTCAGTGGGTATAGGGACTGAATACCATATTTGGGTTGAGAGTCAGGAGATAGAATGAAATTTGATGAATCACCCCCCTGTCCAATCTAATCTGGAAATCAGAGAAGCCTGAAGACTTAAGGAGTACACAGAGATGTTTATACAAGGATGTTCATCACGTTGTTTTAGTAGTAGCAACCTACATGCCCATGTGTAGAGGATTAATAAAATCAACTTTAGTTGTTGTTCACAAAAGAAATCTAAGGGGTGGCTGGGTGGTGCAGTTGGTTGGGCATGGTTTTGGCTCAGGTTGTGATCTTCTATTTGTGGGACTGAGCTCCATGTAAGGCTCTGCGCTCAATGCAGAGTCTGCTTCAGATTCTTTCTGCCTCCCCCTTCGTCTTTCCAGCTCACTCTCTCTCTCTCTCAAATAAAGAAAAATTTTTTAAAAAGAAGTCTAAGTTGCCATTGAACAGTGTGTGGTGAAGCTATCAGGTATAGGTAAAGAAAGGTGTTCAAGACTGATAATTAAGTGAATAAAGCAAGCCACAGAAAAGTGTATGTGTGTATGTTTCTATAGCCATGGATGTTTTCTGGAAATACACATGAAAAACTCCTAACTGGTTACTTCTGAAGAGTATGAATGGAGGTTTGAGTGAGGAGTGAGACTTTAGCTCTTTATATTCTTGTGTGCTTTTTTTTTTCAGATAATGAGCATGTATTGTTTTTGTAATACGACAATAGTGATAAAGAAAAAGTGGAAAAAAGAAAGGCTTAAGGTTGACAATCCAGGGCAGCCTGGGTGGCTCAGCGGTTTAGTGCCACCTTCAGCCCTGGGCCTGATCCTGGAGTCCTGGGATTGAGTCCCACATCAGGCTCCCTGCATGGAGCCTGCTTCTCCCTCTGCCTGTGTCTCTGCCTCTCTCTCTCTCTCTCTCTGTGTCTCTCATGAATAAATAAATAAAATCTTAAAAAAAAACCCACAAAGAAATATATATGTATTTTTTAAAAAGGTTGAAAACCCAAAGGTATTGAACAATTCAGCACTGAATTCAGTGGTGCTGAGGGCAGGAGGAACCACCATGTGGGGCCTGAGATGACTTTGCACAATGGAACTTTCTCTTAGCCACTGCTTGCAGAAAATGCTTTGACCAGCCAAGGCTGGACACAGAGGCAGGAACTGGCAGGAAATCACTATTTGCAAGGCTGGCTCAGTGACAGAAAGTCTACAGCAAAATCAAGGCCAAAGTTCAACTCCAAGAACAGGGATTGGAGTCTCTAATAACAATAGCTGACACATACTGAGTACTTATCCTGTATCAAAACAATGTGCAAATTGCTTTACTTAGCATTATCTCATTTAAATTTTCACAACAAACCTATGAGATAGCACTATTATCCCAATTTTGTAGATGAGAATATTGAGGCTCAGAGGGTCCAAAAACACACAATTAGAATTGGTAGGATTGGGATAACCCTGGTTTGTCTGTTTCTGAAGGCAGCTCTCTTACTACCTCCTGAATATTACTCTGTGTTGAAATCTAAGGCCCTGAGATCCAAGAACAGGACATCCTTACCATCAAGGAGCAGCCAGGCTAGCTGGGGAAGATGACATTTATGCATGTGGACTATAAAGATTTTATTTATTTATTCATGAGACACACACACACACACAGAGGCAGAGACAGGCAGAGGGAGAAGCAGGCTCCATGCAGGGAGCCTGACATGGGACTTGATCCCAGGTCTCCAGATCATGCCCTGGGCTGAAGGCAGCACTAAACTACTGAGCCACCTGGGCTGCCCTGGACTATATATTTTATATAAGGCATACATCCGGATATACCTGGGCTGCAAAGATGATAAATGCTATTTTGATCTTAAATTTAGGGAGATCTGCAAGGCCTGAAGTTGTACATAAAGGCATCTTGGAGGAGGAAAGATGTAAATCAGGTCTGGGAAGGATGGATTGAATTAAGAGAGGGGTGAGGAGAACATTCCAGAGAAGAGAATGCATAAGTCGTGCAGAAGTCTGTTCTGTTGTTTCTGAGACAGTGAAGCATCTTGCCTAATCAGTGAGAGTTGTGTATGGGTGATAAGTGGGCAGTGTGTGTGAGGAGGGAAAACAGAGCATCAGAAGTCATTCTGAAGGGTGAAAACTTGCAGAAGAGTTGTGACTTAACACAGGAGGAAGTCAAGAGCCTCTGAAGGTATTTTTGGGCAGTGAGGAGACACTGAAAAGTGATGCTTCAGAGAGATTAATCCGACAGAGGTGTCAAAATGACTTGGAATGAAGGACAGAGCCATGGGAAAACATAGGTGTGGGGTGATGGAGGTGTCAGTGGATACTATAGGAATGAAGCAAGAGGTTCAGGGTGAGAGCTCCTGTAAAGGGAGAGAGGTAGAGGAGGCAATAGAACTTGCTGATTGAAAATAAACAGACTGTAAAATCAGGGGTCCAAACCAGTTAATTGTGGGACTTCAAATCCATGTGTCCAAAGAAGGGAAAGCCTATATCTGGAACAGGGAATTGGAAGAGGGTTTGCTGTTGGAGGCAGGGTGGAGACAGATGGTGAATTGTGTCTTCATTAGAGACCTCTGTTTTCCCTATGACTGTAAGACAGTGTAGGGACTTTTTCTGTTTTCTTGATCGTGTGATGCATAGGAGTTCCTTTGTTTGGACCAGTTCATTCATTCAGCAGTTCTTTATTAAGCTGTCATTATGGTATGATTGTTGGGAACACAGCATTGAGAGGTCAGATCTGGTCCCTGTCCTCATGAAATGCAGATACTGAACAAGAAATTATAAGTGTTCTTACTACGCCCTTAGTATCAAGGTGGCGTTTCTTCTCCTAGACCAGTCCTCCTCCCTACTCCCCCAGCATACACCAGCTGGTAAGGGCATTTGTGAAACATTTTACTGTACATCGTGTCTTGTAATTAAAAAATATCATCTGGGGCGCCTGGATGGTGCAGTTGGTTGAGTGTCTGACTCTTGGTTTTGGCTCAGTTTGTGATTTCAGGTCCTGGGATTGAATCCCATGCTGGGCTGTGTGCTCAGCATAGAGTCTGCTTGAGATTCCCCTTCTCCTTCTGCCCCTCCCGTGTGTGCTTGCATCTCCCTCCATCAAATCAATCAATCACTCAATCAATCAATCTTAAAAAAAAATATCACAACCATTCATTTTTTTCTTTTCAACAAATATTTATTGAGTGGCACTGTGGCTTTGTGTTTTTAGCCCTCATGCTCACAAACTAGTGGAGGACACAGATAAGTAAGCAGGTAGTGATAATATGTTGTAAGAATTGTACCAAGGAGTAAGTACCAGGTTGTGGGAACAACTAGGAGGGATATGTGTCTGGGCAGATAAGTTTCCCTGACAAGAATAATGAGATGTGAGGCACCCATCTGGCTCAGTTGGTGGAGCATGTGACTCTTGATCTCAGGATTATAGGCTCCGTGCCCTATTTTGGGTGTAGACATTACTTAAAAAAATAATAATAATAAATTCTTAAAAAAAAAAAGAACAATCAAGTATTAGTCATACAAGGGCATGGGGTGTATGTTTTATGCAAGAGGATCTTCTAGTTCAAACACCTGGATGCTGCAGAGGCCTAGGCTTGTTGGGGAATGATTTACAACCTAGATTTTTATACCTAGCAAAACTACCGGTAAAAATGTGAAGAGGGAACGAAAGGCAAGATAGATGCTGAAATGCAAGGTTTCAAAAAATTTACCTGTCGTGCGTCTCTTCCCAGGAAGCTAGTTGAGGACCTGCATCACCAAAATCAAGGAGTAAATCGAGAGCAAACAACATGGGAATAACTGCATGAAGCTCAGGTAGGTAGGGGCTACATCAGAAAAGGGTTCTAAAGGCATAATGAGGACTCTGGATATGATTGTAATGACGAAATTACCTAATAGTAGAGTGATATTAAAAAATTGTTTGTTTGTTTTTTTAATCCCAAGGACCCATTTGAGCAACCTTGTGATTGGCTCCTACCACATTAAAGCGATAGTTTTGTTTTTTTTTAAGATTTTTATTTATTTATTCATCACACACACACACACAGAGGGAGAGGCAGAGACACAGGCAAAGGGAGAAGCAGGCCCCATGCAGGAAGCCTGATGTGAGACTTGATGCTGGGACTCCAGGATCACACCCTGGGCCCAAGGCAGGCAAAAAACTGCTGAGCCACCCAGGGATTCCCTAAAGCTATAGTTTTCATCTATTTTACCTTTGTGTCCTTTTGGAAAGGATTCTGCTGAGTTATAAAGAGTTTGGAAACTATTGTACTAGTAAAACCTAAAACTGTGTATAGCTACTACTTAAGCTGCCTTGTGCAATTTGGCAGGGCTTCCAGAAGCTCCCAGGGCTGTGCAGGTTTCTAGAGCAGTGCAGTGTGGGAAAGGAGAGAGTGGTACAGGGAGGTGATAAGGCACAGCTACCAAATTTCAGGAGGACTCTTTGCTGGTCATTCTTCCTTCAGCAGCAAAGGTGATCCCTAGAATACTTTTGTTTACCATTTAAGTGCTGAAGCTGCCTTCCCCAATGACTTCCAGACTGCGAACAAATAAATTTTAAAATATAAACTTGGGGTGGGGGAAACACAGCGTGACCATGACTCTTCTCCTACTGAACTTTATCACAGCTGGAATAAGGCAGGGTATGTATGAGAGGGAGTGGTGTGTGTGTGTGTGTGTGTGTGTGTGTGTGTATCTTTAGTGGCCTCGAAGAAATTTGTGGATATGTTGTATTGTAACAGGGATCCAGGTGTTCCCTAAATCTGAAGCCAAGGAGAACCTTTTCTTTCTGGATTTTCTTCGATATCTGCTTCTTAAGTACTATGATAAAAGATCAGCCCACAAACCAAGCCGCTTGTAATGGTGTTTATTGGTTTTGCTATCCATAAAAAGGGTATTCCTGAGTTCCCCATCAGCTAGGAGAAATCCTTATCCACCCTCTCATGACCAACCTCTTTCCCTACCCCTAAGCAAGTGAATTTTAAATACCACTCTAAAGTTGTTGGCTGGTGACCTGGAAAATTTCTTTTGCTTTTTTATCGTGTTAATGGCCCATCAGTTTAAACATCCTACCCCCAGAAACTTTCTTTCTCCTAACTAGACTGAAGAGGGAACAGAGATTTAAAAAAAAAAAAAAAAAATGAAAGAAAGAAAGGATTCCTATTTCTAAGGGCCTTGGGAAGATTCCAAGATGGCCAGGTCTGATTGAATGGAATGAAGGAATTTCATTTGTCTTGATCAGTCTGTACAGCACCTAGCCAATGTAAAGGCAAATGTAAATTAGGATCTTATTGAATGACTTTAAAGGAAAGTGATAATTTTTTTTAAAGATTTTATTTATTCATGAGAGAGAGAGAGAGAGAGAGAGGCAGAGACACAGGCAGAGGGAGAAGCAGGCTCCACGCAGGGAGCCCGATGTGGGACTTGATCCCAGGACTCTAGGATCACACCGTGGGCCGAAGGCAGGTGCTAAACCGCTGAGCAACACAGGGATCCCCTTAGCTCATGCTCTTAACCACAACGTTATGCTGTTTATAAACTACAAAGATCTAAGGAAACCTAACGTTGAAGCGGAAAGTGGCTAAACTATTCCCCTCTGGTACATGACAGTTCACCTTGTGCCATTCATGTAGGCCAGGAAGTTGCCAAGTTATCAGGTCCTAGTTGGAGGGGTCAAGCCTGCATATAATATTATAAGCAGACACTTGCCCCTAGCCTTTTGGATTTCTGGAATAAGGTTCTGACCACAGAACACTATTCTCTTCAGGTCTTGGTCTGTCAGATTCCATTTCTCAGTTTCCAGAACAACACACAGATGCACAGGGCAATCAGAGCCTTTATTTATTTATTTGTTTGTTTGTTTGTTTATTATTTATTTATTCATGAGAGACACAGAGAGAGAGGCAGAGACACAGGCAGAGAGAGAAGCAGGCTCCCTGCAGGGAGCCCGATGTGGTACTTGATCCAGGACTTGAGCCAAAGGCAGATGCTCAGCCACTGAGCCAGGTGCCCCCAGTCAGAGCCTTTAACATCATGCTACTTCCTTCACCTATGTTTAGGGGCAATTAGCACTTTCGGCAATTTTTCTCTCCCAAATAAGCTTTGTCATCTTTTATATCAACTCGGGCTGCTAGCTTTCAAATCCATCTTCTGTAACCCCCAAATCCCATGGGGCATTCCCTAACTGGGCAGGAAGCAGCTGACCAGGTCAGAGACTGCCATTGGAATAGCATGCTGAGGAGAGAGCAACCGTGGGAGAGCAATGAGAGTGCTACCACCAGCTGGAAAATTACCAAAGGTGACTTTGCTGGGGGACAATCCTGGATGGAATTCCCAGGGCCTAGGGTAGGCTTTTATGCTTCCTTTTAAAAATATTTATATTTATAAACAGAAGTCCCTTTATCAAAAAAAAAAGAATAATCCCAGTTGTTGTGAACAATTTAAATAATATGGTGATTAACAGAGAAAGTACAAGGATGCCATTAATAATACAACGCACTTCCCTGCCCCACACCTCCAACCCTATGCATCTGCCTAATCACCACTAGTAACAGTTTGGAATCTGCCCTTCCAGATGGTTCTGTTAGTTTCCTGTGTGTGTGTGCGTGAGAGAGAGAGAGAGAGAGAGAGAGAGAGAGAGAGAGAGACAGATTCACATAAGCATCAGTGAGAAGATCCTATTCTGTACCTCATGTACCATGAGCATCTTCTGAGTCCATCGTACAGCTCTCCCTGTTTTAACAGCAGTGCAGTAGTCCATTGTAAGAATAGACAATCTTGGGACACCTGGGTGGCTCAGGAGGTTGAGCGTCTGCCTTTGGCTCAGGGCGTGATCCCAGGGTCTCGGAATCGAGTCCCTCATTGGGCTCCCTGCAAGGAGCCTGCTTCTCTGCCTGAGTCTCTGCCTCTCTCTCTCTCTGTCTCTAATGAATAAATAAAATCTTAAAAAAAAAAAAAGAATAGACAGTCTTCCCTTTTTCCTAATTTCTCTGCTTTAACAGATCTTTCATTTCCTTGGGAACCTCAGCTCCCTGTTAACAAGCCCAACTCTGGGTCCTGCCTCAGGTTGCTGCACAAATGGGAAGGCAGTCAAAAGGTGGGAAGGGCAGTGGCGGGGGGAATGGGGCCGGGCAAGTGTATTCCAGCCAGCCATACTGGGATACATAGGAAGTTCTTTCTCCCCACCCTGCCAAATGGTTCCCTGCTCTGCCTAAGGTCAAACTGCACATTTTATAAAACCGATGATTTTATGGGAATCATCTTTGAAAATGACCAAGAAGATCAATGGGGAGAATCAAAAGGGTGTTTTCTTAGAGTTACACTGTATCATTTGGGACCTGCACTCTGGGCATGCACACAGGGGTCTACCAGAATGACCAGAGGCCTTCCAGGCCAATCCCCTGCCTCCATCCAAGATATGTTTGCTTGAAGCCCCCCATGTTCTCTCTTGGTGGCTCTCCTGTGTGAGCAACAACTCCATTAGGTAGAAATTTGCTTCTTGTCACCGGAAGGGTGCTCCAGCTTAGAGGATCCAAGCTCTTGACCAGATTTGCTCTCTGTACCTCAGTGTCCTTGTTTGTAAAATGGGTATAAGAATAGTATCTATCTAATTGGTAGAGTTTTTCATCTGTAACTTAAATAAAATATACACATGGCATATTTATCATATTATATGGTATATGGCAAGCACTCAACGCTGTGAGTGATTATACCCTAAATCCAGATATCCCTCACTGCACGTTTTTTTTTTTTTTTTTCCTCACTGCCCTTTAAACCTAGACTTTCGAGATCATCTAGGTCACTGGCTCTTGACCCTGGCTGCGCAGTGAAGTTAGCCAAGTCAGCCGTGGAACCTTAAAAAAATGCCAGTGCTCAGGCTTCATTGGCAGAGATTCTGATTCTCTCTCATGTAGATCAGGGGGATCACTGCTTTTGAAAATCACCCTGGAGAATTCTTGTTTGCAGCTAGGGTTAGAGTACTGAATTTAGTTCAGTATTCTGTTTCTAGGTGAAGCAACTGTGAGGCCTGGATCCGGGAAGGGACTTGTCTTTCTCCGTCTGGACACCAACCTCCACAGGCTTTCCTTCCCAGGGAGGGAGATCTGTCCCTGGGATGCCCTTCGGGCAGTCTTGGGTATGATCCGGGGTGCTGCCCCTGCTTCTGGTCTCTTTCCGGGTAATATTGCTGGACCCCTCAACCCATTATTTGGTCACAAACTCGAGGAGGTCTCCCTATAGGAAGCCACAGTTCTAGAATACAACCCTCTTTTATTAAAGCATTTACAGCGTTTGAAATAATCCCATGCATCCATCCATCCATTCCTTTTAAGAATCTAAGCCCCCTGGGGGCAGGGGCGATGTGTGTCCTGTTCCCGGGGTGCCAGGCCTAGGATGGTGACCAGCACTTGGCTTAAAAATAATAGTAATAATAATAATACCCATTAGATGACTGGATGAGGGAAATCCCGGGAGGGTAGTTGAGGTTTTTTTTATTTTTCTGGTACTAGCCATCTGATTCTCATTACTCCTACAGCTCGAGAAGCCGCTCTGCGCTTTGGCGTTTTATAAACCTCGTGTGCGTACGTCGACATTTTAACCATAAATCCAGAGTTTGGGGGCTGGAAAATTCGAGGCGAAGGGTTTGGGGGAGGGGGTAAGGACGACGCGGAGGTCCGAGCCTGGCCCGGGGTGGGCGGGGGCCGCCGGGCGGCCGAGCCTCCGCCCCTGCCTGCGCCCTCCGCGGGAGGTGGCCCCGGGCCGCAGCCTCCAGCGCGGGGCGCGCCGCCGCCGTCTCGGGGCCGCGGGGAGGGCCGCCGCGGGGAGGGCCGGCGGGCGGGTCGCGGCCGGGGGCGGCTCGGCCAGCGGCCCCGCATTGCGGCCGCGCGCCCCCGGAGGTGGCGCCTTGGGGAGGCTGTGGCGGGAGCCGAGGGGGCGGGGGAGGGGCCCTGTGTGTGTCCCTTTAAGAGCCGGAGCGCTGCCCCCGCCTCGCAGGCGCCCGGAGCCTCACAAAAGAACAGGATGTTGTTGATTTGTCACCAAACCACAGAGAGGAAATGATTGTAAATTTCCTTTAAACATCCCCACCGCGCTCCGGCCGCCCCCGCTTCCTCCTCCGCCGCCCCCGCCCGGCCCGGCGCAGCGGGGCCTCGGCGCTCCCGCGGGGCGCCCGCGCCCGGCCTCCCGGAGGCCCCAGGCTGCGGCCGGCTCCGGGCGCCCGCGGGAGGAGCCCCCCGCCCCGCCCCCCGCGCGCTCCCGGTTGCTTTCCTCGCATTTTTTTTTTTTTTTCAACAGCTGCGGCAGAGAAAGGGCCGTGGCCTGGAAGCACCTTAGCGTGTGCGCCCATCCTGTTTAGCCTTACGACCGCCCTGCAGACGCAGTAACCATTAGTTACGGTGCCCCTGGGGGAAACTGAGGCCCAGGGGGCTTCCCTGAGTAGCCGAGAGGCACCAGCTCCTGAAACCTCTTGAGGGCTCTTGGAACACCCAATCTCGGTTTGGTTCTCCCCAGACCTGGAGTTTGTGACCAATCTGCCATACAAATTCCCGTTCATCAAGTGTGGCAGCTTCTCCGGGCAAGTTCAAAAGCAACCAAGACTTCAGACCACGTTATTTCATTTTTTTTTTTAAAGATTTTATTTATTTATTCATGATAGTCACAGAGAGAGAGAGAGAGAGAGAGAGAGAGGCAGAGGGAGAAACAGGCTCCACGCAGGGAGCCCGAAGTGGGATTCGATCCTGGATCTCCAGGATCGTGCCCCGGGCCAAAGGCAGGCACTAAACCGCTGCGCCACCCAGGGATCCCGACCACGTTATTTCATGAGGAGCATCCCCACCATGTCCAGCTGGGCACCCGTCTTTAAGGAGCTGTTTGGGTCTGGGTTCCACCTGTGCCTTTATGTGCTTTGATGCACCTTTACCTCCCCTGGCCTGCTTCTCGTTGTTTTCAATGATTTTTGAAAGCCTCTGGTGCAGTTAACGTTTGCTTCCAAACTGCAGTCCATGGCGGAGTGGTCAAATCTGGTCTGTGGTGCTTTGGGAGGCTTCTTTTGCTGTACAGAATGTTCTTTTGGAGCAATTAATGTTTCCGATTCAGCATTGGCTGCACTGGGGTTCTTGGCTTGAATATTCAAAGCAGCAGTTAATACCCCAGGCCTGTGCATTCTCTCCTTTCATCCTTACAGTAGCCCCATAGACCTTGCTGCTCCCTTAGTCCCTTAGTACAGATGAGGATGCTGAGGTTCAGAGAGGTTGAGGAGTTGGACCAGCAGTGACAGGACTTATTTAGTGACCACTATCTGATTACTGGTGGTGTCTTTCCTTAGTACTTGAAAATTGATTATTTGGTTAGGAGAACGGGTAGGGACGGGAGCACAGGATGCTCTTGTTGGATCCTTTGTCGCCTCAACTTCCCCTGGGAACTCTAGGCCAAATCTCACCCTCTGCTGAAGGAGCACCTGAGTGACTCACACTCTCGGGCTGGAATCTTCCCTTTTGGGGCCTGATGAAATCCTGAGTGCTTAGATGAAGAGGGGGACTTATGGAGTCTGAGTTTTTTCCGTTCTACCTGACCAGGAACACGGAAACTTAAAAAAAAAAAGAAAAAATCTAGTACTGGATTCCTAAGGCTGAATAGCCGCCTTCATGTGCAAGACCCTTAATTCTAAGTGGATGGGGATGGGGTGATAGAAAGTTGAGTTTGACTCCAGGTATCATCAATGTCACGTAACTATAATGTTGTCATGGGCCTGCTGTGTGCCCACGGACTGTTCCAGGGGCTATCTATGTGCTTTCTCATTTGATCCTAAAAAGGTCCTAGTGGATGGAAAGTCAGGACCAGAGAGGCCGTACACCTAGGAATGGTAGGTAGCTGGGTTTCGCATCCCTCTGCACAGGGTCTCTTGTGTCTGTGCCAGAGGAAGCACCAGTTATCTGGCGCCCCAGAAATGGGACTACAGTGCTTTCCTTCAGTCAGTGCAGAAAGCCAAGGTGATTTTGAGAGGGAAATGCAGTGGCCTTTGGCTCCTCTGTGCTGCAGCTGTCTTGCAGTTATTCAACTCTGAGCACATTTGTTGATGGATTTCCAGTGTCGCTGCAGTATCTCCACCTGTCTTTTTTGCTTTTATAGATTGCCAGTCACAGGGGCATCCGGGTCCTGAGCACTTGGGAGGGAGAGCCATCTGCTTAATTATTTCCATTCCCTAGATGAGAAACGCAGGGCACCAACATGCCGAGTTGTTCTGGGCAGGCTGGCTTAAAGCAGAGCAGGGCAACAGTAGTCCTTCAGCCTCTACCCATCACTCAATTCTGGAGAAGAAGGAGCCAGAGGGTAGGTCACCTGATGCCTCTTGGTCTCTGTTTCCTAGGCTGTGCAAAACTTTGGCCTACTTGTCTCTGAGGCTCTTCCAGTCGTCCTCATCCAAAGAATAGTTTCTGTTTACTCATTCAGTTAATATTTATTAAACGTCTACTATATGCCAAGCACCTCTGCTATATGACTGGAGATACTGCAAAGAACGAAACAAAAGCTCTGTCTTCTTGGGATTTACCTTTTAGGTGGAGAACAAAAAATATTAAACACATGGATATGTAAAATGTCAGCTAGTGTCATACCACTTTGTGGTAAATAAAATAAAGAACATTAGGGGAGAATGCCGTGAGTATATGAGGGGTAGTGTTTTATTTAGGGTCGTAAGGGAAGGCCCACTGATAAAGTGGCACTTGAGAAGGAAGGGGGAGAGTGAGCCACACTGCCTTGTGAAGTTTGCTATAGGTGGTTGGACTGGCAAAGATAAGGACCAGGAGATGGGCGTGTGTTGCATAGCACTTACCATGTGTCAGGCCCTGTGGTAAATGCATTGTGTTATTTTATCCTTGTGTTCTTGCTGTATCTTATTTGAAGAAGCTGAGACTCAGAGAGGTTTGGTGACTTGCCCACGGCCACACAGCTAGTAGGTAGTGAAGGTGAAATTCAAATGCTGGTCTTTTTTTTTTTTTTTTAAATTTATTTATTTATGATAGTCACACACAGAGAAAGAGAGAGAGGCAGAGACACAGGCAGAGGGAGAAGCAGGCTCCATGCACCGGGAGCCCGATATGGGATTCGATCCCGGGTCTCCAGGATCGCGCCCTGAGCCAAAGGCAGGCGCCAAACCGCTGCGCCACCCAGGGATCCCTCAAATGCTGGTCTTAACCTTCATGCTGCTTCCCACTCAGGGACTCTTCTTTTGGAGCTCACGTTTAATTGATGACCTAGTTGTTGTGATTTCTTGGGGATTAAGTGTCAACGGTGGCCATGACCCCTGGCCCCTAGGTTGCCTGGTGTTGGGGAAAGAGCTGAGGGCCTGAAGTTCCTTTTTTGTGAGGGGAAGGCAATATGTTTGATGCTGGAAAACCCCATGTAGTGTTTATGGCAGAAGGGGGAAAAACACCTCCAGATTAGCGTAAACAAGAGAAATGGGAGAATGGGGTAGCCTGGATCCCTCCACCCCCCACCTTCGTTTTAATTTCCCCATGATGGGCTCAACGCAGCATGTTGTATTATACAGCGATAATTAAAACACTTGGATTAGTGAGTTGAGATTTATAGGGCAAACAGGAGCCAGAGGAGAAACGACAGTCTTGTCTTTTATTTGCAGGCAGATATCCAAATTGCCACTTGCTTGCTTTTTCTTCCTGACACTATCACCTACTCTGCTTAATTAGATTCTTTTTTTTTTTTTTTGTCTTTTTTTTTCTGTATCATTTCCAACACCCGCTTAGCCTGCTGCTCAGCAGAGTTTAGGAAGCCATATACTGAACCCTTTTCCACAGCCTGGGGAAGTTGAGTCTGGAATGAGGCAAAGAAGAACCAAGGAGGGTATCTTGCCATCCGGGTGTGGAACCCACCTGTCCATCAGCATCCTGGCGCAGGGGCCACCAAGTGGAAGTACCACGCTTCTTACAGTCCTGCTCAGCTTTCCATGAAGCATCCTTTTTCTTGTGAGGAACAGAACAAATTCCCCAAATAGCAGACCACCCCCAACACATTCCATTTCAAAACCAATAGGGTTAAATCGTGTTCCCAAATTGTTATTGAATATTTTACTCCCTTTAAAGTGTCATCATAGACTGATAGGGGTGAGGGGTAGGCAGGACTACGATGGACAAAATGCTGTCTGAGTTTACAATCTAGTAGAAAGAAGAGTTGAAAATCACTGATGAGAATTTTTGGCCAAGTTCATATGTTTGATTAGTATTTATTGACTATCTAGTGTGTGTCAGGCCTTGTTGTAGGCGGTTACGGGACACAATAGTGGCACAGGATCCTGAAAAAAATCTCCATCCATGTGAATTTAGCAGCACTGGGGGAGGAGGACTGGCAGGGTGGTGAATTTGTCACTGAAGAGCGTAAGAATGGAAGAAAAATTAAGTGGGGAAGGTGGCTAGGAGAGTGCTGGGGCTGGTCATTTTTAAAACCTGAAGAGGTGGGACGCCTGGTGGCTCAGCAGTTGAGTGCTACTTCCGCTCAGGGTGTGATCCTGGAGTCCCAGGTTGGAGTCCCACATCGGGCTCCCTGCATGGAGCCTGCTTCTCCCTCTGCCTTGTCTCTGCCTCTCTCTGTGTGTCTCTCATGAATAAATAAATAAAATCTTAAAAAAAATTAAAACCTGAAGAAGAAGGCGGCCCTTTATGTTTCTGTAATCAGCTGGTCTGAAACTTATTTTTCTCATCTGCACAGTAGGGCTAGTCGTAGATACTTTTAAAGGGATTAAATGAGGCAAAAACCATACGCATGTAAATAATAAATACATAATAAATAAATAACATAATAAGTTATAAAAAATATATAAAACACATACCTAATTAGGGCTCTGTGAGTGCTTGCTCTTTTCAGCACTACTTGCTTATGATAAGGTGACGGGGAGCTGAAGGGACAGTGAAAGGGAAGAGTTATTATCTGTGTCCCGCTCCCCTCTTCCAGTAATCACGATTTGCCCATCCACCAGGAATGCAAAAGTGCAGGTGAGCCCTTGTGGCAGAATTAGGACCACAGAGGGTTTAGGTCGGGGTTTGGTATGTGGAGTGTAGATGGGAGTTTGAGGCTGGTCGATTTTTGCCTTCTGTCTTAAAAATTATTTTCCACATGCTTGGTGTTAACCCCGATTCTCCACAATAAGTTGGGCAGGGGGGCAGGGGCTGCCCGCTTGACAAACGGGAAAACAGGCACAGGATGTGAGTGCCTGGCCAAGGTCACCTCCAGTCTCCAGAGGAGATCTCCTGCCGCCTGGAGATGAGTCATCCTGGAGTGTTGTTCCCGGGGTGAAATCACAAAGGAAGGAAGGCTTGGATTTATTGCAGGCAGCCCGGGAAGTTTCCTGTTCTTGAGAAATCTCAGAAACAGTAACTCCTCCATCTGAGGGGCTTTATTCTTCTGACGTTAGCCTACTGAGGAGCCCCCAAACCTCCAGAAGATACAGTGTCTGATATGGGGTGAAGGAGAGGGTAGAAGGCCTTTGACATAAAGAGGAGAAAAAAGGAGAAGAAAGTGTGTGGGGGTTGAGAGCTTGGGTCCTGGGGTCAGACAGGTCTGGGTTTGGTGGTTCTGCCACTTAACCAGCTTGGGCAAGGCACATGACCTGCCGTAACCCTTAGTTTCCTCATATGTATCAGTCCATAACTCATGGGTTGTTGGAAAGTGAAATTAGATGGTGTGTGCCAAGCATTTAGGCCAGTGCCTGGCGGCTGGAGGCTCTCGGAAAAGTGAGTTGTCATCACTGCAGCGGAAAAGGGAACAGCTGGGTAAGGGTGAGGGGGTGAGAGGGTGCCCAGGTTGTGCATCTGTCAATGCTGGACCACTTCCATGAGGTCTTGCTGAAGTTCCTTCCACCCAAGGTTTCTGGAGTCAGTCACCCAGTAGGTGCCATCTTGGCCTTCTAGGAGTTTGTGCTGGGACCAGCAGAGCAGGGCCAGCCAAGTATCTGATGTCTTCCTGCCGCCGTTGCTCACCCCTCCCCGCGTCATGGTTCACTGGGCATGGCGGGCCTCACAGGGGCCCCCCTTGGTTCACTCTCTTCCCCTCCCTTTAACCTTTGCTTCTCTGGCTCAGACCCATTATTTGTCCTGTTGCTGTTGACTCCATATAATGAAAATAATTGAGCCTGTCTCCACCGATGACTGTCTAGGAACAAATCAAGCTGGCCCCAGTCATCCGCCTCTGATTGAACACACCCCGCCTGCTGCAAACGGTCCTGCTTGGGCTTGGGTCTTAAACCCAGGCTGCAGTGCTAGATGCAGTGCTAGATGTACCCTACTGGACAGCTTCATAGTTTGCTGAAGGGTGTCTGGGGGTTCTGGGACGAAGGTGCAAAAGTTCTGAGAATACCTCTAAGCATTTATCCAAAGCCCTAATTACTGTGTTCTCCAATTATGCATCTGCCCTTCAGCCTCCAGCCTAGCTTCCTTATCACTCCCTGTCCCACTGGATGTAGAATATTTCTAGAAAACAGATAACAGAGGGGACTGAAGAGTTGCCTGAGCTTGGGGTGGGGAAGCTACTAAAGCTTTGGATTTTTCTGATTTTTATGTAAATAGTTCCAAAAGCAGACCTCAGAGGAGCTGTACTACCCAGCAAGAGTGAGAAGGGCAGGGTTGATGTATTATTCTAGTCCAAAGCCCCATTTATGTTTGTATATTTTAAGATACTATCACTGTCTTAAGTGAAAACACCCGCCACCACCACCACCCTGTCTTATCTCTAGAAGGACCCTGCCCTTTTTGCCTGCTATGCATTCTCCTCTTTATCGTTGCACATATGCACATATGCACATACTGTGAATTGGCTCTCCCGGACCAGGATTGTGCTAAATGCTTACATATTTTCCACCAAATTAATTGTGTTTTACATTCCGCATTATAGACATTTCCCCAAGTTCCTTTTTTTAAAAAATATTTTATATTTATTTGAGAGAGCATAAACAGGGGGAGTGGCAGGGAGAGGGAGAAGCAGACTCCCTAGTGAGCAGGGAGCCTGATGGGGGGGCTCCATGCCAGGACCCCTAGACTAGGACCTGAGCCGAAGGCAGACACTCAACTGACTGAGCCACCCGGGTGCCCCTCCCAAAGTTCCTTTATAGTCTTCCTAATTGCTGATTAAAATAGGAACCTAAGATTTCCTGCTGTAGCACGGTGGGACCATTTTCTCCTTTTGGGCATTTGTGGGCAAGAGCATCAGCTAAGGGCTGCTGCACAGCTGTAGTAGTAAAGGGCACAGTGTGGAGGGCGGAGGACTGGGCTGTGGGAAGCAGGAACAGACTGCAGCAGGGGGCAGGTGGGAGGAGCGCATGGAACTCCACTCGCTCTCATGCTGGACACTTGGGTCAGCAGTCCCTGCATTACTCGCTCTCCATTTTAGCCACATGAATTGGTGTGGGGACTGAGTCAGGGTGGCGGCAGCTGTCTGCTCAGGTGAGGGTGGTGGGGAAGAAGCCATCCTCTTGAGGTAGGTGGAAGAGGAGTTTCTATCCGCATTTTACAGAAAAGGAATCTGCGTCTCACAGACGTCAAAGGACTTGCCAAAGCATAGCTCTGAAGTAGCAAGATGCAGAACAGGGTGTTGGCATTCTGACTCCTGTGCCTTTCCCCTCCATCAGCCTGATGTTGGTTTTTCCTCCTCTGGCTGTCTCCTCCAGACTACCTTTCTTCCTGATACAGGGGTTCCTCCCCGAGAAAACCCACATATGCACATCCAGGGTAGCCACAGTTGGTACTACAAGGCTAGCCCCACGGAGGAAATGATTTCTTTCTTTCTTTCTTTTTTTTTAAGATTTTATTTATTGGGCAGCCCGGGTGGCTCAGCGGTTTTGCACCGCCTTCAGCCTGATCCTGTAGACCCGGGATCGAGTCCCATGTTGGGCTCCCTGCATGGAGCCTGCTTCTCCCTCTGCCTGTGTCTCTGCCTCTCTCTCTCTCTCTCTCTCTCTCTGTGTGTGTGTGTGTGTGTGTGTCTCATGAATAAATGGGTAGAATTTTTTTAAAAAAGAAAAGGATTTTATTTATTTATTCATGAGAGACACACAGGGAGGGGCAGAGACCTAGGCAGAAGGAGAAATAGACTCCTTGCGCAAGGAGCCTGATGCTGAACTCAAACCCAAGACTCTGGGATCACGACTTGAGCCTAAGGCAGACACTCAACCATTGAGCCATCGAGGTGCCCGTGGAGAAAATGATTTCTAAAGAAGGACAGAGTTGCTGGCAGGGAAAACCAGAAAATTGTTCCTTAAAAACTACCCAGGTATGGGGTCTCTTAGGGTAGTGCAGTTGGTTGGGCATCTGAGTCTTGGTTTCCACTCAGGTCGTGATCTCAGGGTCTTGAGATTGAGCCCCCTTTTGGACTCTGTGCTCAGCAGGAACTCTGCTTGAGATTTTCTCTCCCTCTCTCTCTGCCCCTCCCACTCATGCTCTGTCTCTTTCTAAAATAAATAAATAAATCTTAAAAAAAAAAACTTTCCCAGGTACAAGGTGTGGGTTTTTTTTTTTGTTTTTTTTTGGTTTTTGTTTTTGTTTGTTTGTTTTGTTTTTGTTTTGTCTTGTTGGCCCAGGATGGAGATGTTGGCTCAAGTTCCTCCTGTAAATCTTTGGGATTTAATGCAGCCATTCAGCCTCTGTTCAGAGAAGTGTTGTGCTGCCAGAAACACCTTTTTTAAATCCAAGCAATGATCACTGCACATTTTTCTTTCACAGTAGAAAGCCCTGAGTCTCTTTTTTTTTTTTTTTTTTAATTTATTTATGATAGTCACACAGAGAGAGAGAGAGGCAGAGACACAGGCAGAGGGAGAAGCAGGCTCCATGCACCAGGAGCCCGATATGGGATTCGATCCCGGGTCTCCAGGATCGCGCCCTGGGCCAAAGGCAGTCGCCAAACCGCTGCGCCACTCAGGGATCCCAGCCCTGAGTCTCTTAAAAGTGTTTGCAGACAGCATTGAGTCCTTAGAATAATAAGACAGTTTTAAGGGAAAAACAAAACCCATTGTTTATGTCAACTCTGCAGCTTATCAATATGAAATGAAGATGAAGATTCATTTATGTGAAGAGACCATATTTTTGGTGGGGGGATTGTTAAAAATTCATATATCTTTGCTAATGGAATCATTTCCACACTTATCATGGAGGGGAAAAAAAAAAACAAGGCTCATAAAATCTTTCCTGTAACAATCAGAGAAGGAGTGAGTCTCTGAAAATACAAATTTGTGGTATTATCTTTGCCTTTAGCAAAATTCTTTGAGCTTTCAAATAGCATGTTGTGGACCTAGTCTGGCTGTTACATTAGTTTAGCATCTTCATTTGTGTGGGTGAGTTTTTTTTTTTTTTTTTTTTTGTGGGTGAGTTTTTAAATATTTTATTTATTTGAGAGAGAGAGAGCAGAGCTAGAGAGAGGGCATGAGTGTGAGGAGGAAGGGCAGAGGGAGAAGCAGACTTCCTGCTGAGCTAGCAGATCCATGGGGGGCTCAGTCCCAGGGTCCTCCGGTCAGGACATGAGCTGAAGGAAGACACTGAACCTACTGAGCCACCCAAGTGCCCAAGCATCCTCTTTTGATTTATCCTTTTCCTAAACCATGTTGATCTGCCCTCACTCAGAGCCAAGCCTATGCTAGCCCTCTTTCCATTCACTATGGCCTTGAATCCCAATCCCCCACCCGTCTTTGAAGTAGCCAGGGTTCCTGTGTGCCTCGCTCAGTGAAAACACTATGAGAAACTAGAGTTTTGCAACATACGGGCCCCAGAGCTGCAGTTATGAGTGATGACCAAGCTCTGAAAGCCTCCTAATAGGAAGTTAGTGGCAGAGGTAGGATTTGAATCCAGCTCTGAATGGCTCCTAACACATACTGTTTTGCACTACCCAGTTCTGCCTTAAATTAGCAAACTGTGCTGAGCCCCTTCTGTGGAGTAAGGTGCCTTGTTAGGAAGGCACCTGGAAGGAAATGCCAAGGTGAATCAGAATCTCTTCAAGGCACTTGCAGTCTTGGCTGGGCTAAGGGTCAGCCTTCATTGTATGGAAACATTTGTTTATTTGTAATCTTCATTATACAGATAAGGAAACTGAATCCAAGAGGTCAAATGACTTGCTCAAGGTCACACGGCTATGATGTGACAAGACTTTTATTAGGTGGTTGTAGCTAGAAGTCCACAGTCATCCAGACTTATGACTTGTGTAGCCAGAGGTCATAAGTCATCCCTTATGTAGACCATTACATTCCTACGTGCAAGGCAGGCGAAGCTCAGAGCTGCACTTAAAGATCAGACAAAGGCCAAGGTGGCAAGTGTTTGGACGGTATGTGCCCAGTGCTCCTGAATGGTGTAGAGATTCCAAAAGAGCTTTATCCCTCAAGGTGCCTGGAGGCTCCTGGGTCCATTGCCTTATATGCAGCAGAACTCATGGGCTCACCCACCTCTCTCCTTATGGCAGAGTCCCTGCTTTGGCAAACCGACTCATAGGATCTCCTATCCCCAGAGGTTTTTCCAACAGGATAGAAACCACTGAGCCCTGCTGAGGTCATCTGTGCTGTATAGAATATTTGCTTTAGGCTGTGCAAGCTGAGGAAAGCCTGGAGGAGCAGAGGAAGGAAGGCAAGCTGGGAGATGCCCTTCGCTATCAGAGAGCAATGAGGCCCCGGGCCTGGGTTTTCCAAGGCCCCACCACCAAGGGACTTCTTGAACTCTCAGCTTGTCTGCTCAGCTTAGAAATGGGCATGAAGATGATATGGACTCCCTTTCATAGTGTTGGGATGGTGGCTGGAGAACCGTCAAGTCCATTGTCAGACTCAGTGTAGACGCTTCCTACATTTCCTTCCTTCCTTATCCTTCTCTGACTGCCTTCCTTCTGAATTTCTAGCCGTTAATAAGCCCTGTAGGGCTTTTCTGCCTCCTTCACATCTGCAGTGACAGCAGATGCCCCACACTAGGCTCCTTGATGATTGTCCTACTATACATGAATTTCACTGGAGATGTGCTTATTAAGAGTGAAAGATGCTGGGGCACCCACATGTTATACCAGGTGTGGAACCAATGAAAACATTCTCTTGTTTGGCCTTTAGAATCACCACTCTATCCTGTGCTTCATGGGCTATATGACCTAGGTTATATTGTTTAACGCCTCTGTGCCTCTGTTTCCATATTTGCAGAATGGAATGAGAATAGTACTTACCTCACAGAGAGGCAGGGGATATGAAACACAATAATGCATTAGAGCCACTGGCACTGGGCATCCCCAGTGCCGCCTGTGGTCAGGGGTGTGATCCTGGAGACCTGGGATTGAGTCCCACGTCAGGCTTCCTGTATGGAGCCTGCTTCTCACTCTGCCTGTGTCTCTGCCTCTCCTCTCTCTCTCTCTGAATAAATAAATAAACCTTTAAAAAAAAATGAAAAGGAGGTCCTTTAAAAAAAAAAAAAAAAGAGCCACTGGCACTGGAATGTGCTAGGAACTATTACCTAAAACAAACACCAAATCCGGCTGGAAGGGACTTTAGGCATCAGGGCCTACCTTTTAATTTTTTAGAATTGATTTATTTAAGTAATTGACACTAACAATAGCTAATGGCAATAGCTAATATTTTTGGGCGCTTACCACATACCGGGCACTGTGATAAGTGCTGTCATGTGTTAAGTTGCTTACAATGTGAAGCTGCACCCAGTTCTTTTCCAGAGAGGCAGCCACCATCACCAGTGGTCTGGGTATCTTTACCTGTGTCCTCTGTGCACATACAGATATTTAAATCTCTTTTTACCCCTTCATTTTTAAATATGAGAAATCTTGAGCTCATGGTGAAAAGCACAGATGGTCATAAAAGTTCTTATTCTGTGTGGGGGGCACTGCTCCAGACGCTATGTGGTTTTGAATCCTCACTATAACTCTGTAGAATGAGCTCTGTTATTTGGAATAAATGCTCTAAGCCTTAGTTTACCTCTGTGGGTTGATTGAAGATTAAGTTAAATAATCCACAGAGAAGGATTTATCAGAGTTCCTGACACATCCTAACTGCTCAGGAGATGGGGAGGGCCAAGGTTTTATAGGGGTCCAAAGCTTGTATGATTTGAAATTTGTCTTTAAGAGAAAGAATAGAGGATCCCTGGGTGGCTCAGCGGTTTAGCACCTGCCTTTGGCCCAGGGCGTGATCCTGGAGTCCCGGGATCGAGTCCCACGTCGGGCTCCCTGCATGGAGCCTGCTTCTCCCTCTGCCTGTGTCTCTGCCTCTCTCTCTCTCTCTCTCTGTTTATCATGAATAAATAAAATGTTTTTTAAAAAAATAAGAGAAAGAATGGAGGCGGCTGGGTGGCTCAGTCGATTAAGTATCTGCCTTTGGCCCAGGTCATGATTTCGGGGTCCTAGGATGGAGCCCCATGTCAGTCTCCCTGCTCAGTTGAGAGCCTGCTTCTCCCTCTGTCTGCCCCTCCCCTTGCTTATTCTCTTTCTCAAATAAACACATAAAAAATATTTTAAAAAAATTTGGGATTCCTGGATGGCTCAGTTGGTTAAGCCTCTGCCTTTGGCTCAGGTCATGATCCTGGGGTCCTGGGATCAAGCTCCACCCATATCAGGCTCCCTGCTTCGCAGAGTCTGCTTCTCCCTCTGCCCCTCCTCCTGCTCATTCTCTCTCTCTCTCTTTCTCAAATAAACAAAATCTTTTAAAAATTAGAAAATTTAGGAGAAAAATAAAAATTAGTAATCCGATATTAAGAATGCAAGTGACTGGGATCCCTGGGTGGCGCAGCGGTTTGGCGCCTGCCTTTGGCCCAGGGCGCGATTCTGGAGACCCCGGATCGAATCCCACGTCGGGCTCCCGGTGCATGGAGCCTGCTTCTCCCTCTGCCTATGTCTCTGCCTCTTTCTCTCTCTCTCTGTGACTATCATAAAAAATAAATAAAAATTTAAAAAAAAAAAAAAGAATGCAAGTGACTGGAGCCCCTGGGTGTCTCAGTGGTTGAGCCTCTGCCTTCTGCTCAGGGTGTGATCCCAGTCTGGGGATCAAGTCCTGCATTGGTCTCCCTGTGAGGAACCTGCTTATCCCTCTGCCTATATCTCTGCCTCGCTCTCTGTGTCTCTCATGAATAAATAAAATCTTTAAAAAAAAAAAAAAAGAATGTAAATAATTAATTTAGAGGGAAAAAATATAGTATTGTATGTCAGCTATGCTTACAATTTTTAAAAGTAGAAAAAAAATAAAGAGCTCTAATAATTTATATATTTTAAAAACTAACAAATACCTCAAACACTATAAAATCCCAAAGAATAACATTTTTCTTAATCAACCGCCTGACACACCTCTATTATCCTTTTTACCCTACATTTTCTAGCTTCATATTCTTTGATCATTTCTTCATATGACAATAATTTTCTTTCTTTTTTTTTTAAGATTTTATTTATTTATTCATAGAGAGAGAGAGAGAGAGGCAGAGACACAGGCAGAGGGAGAAGCAGGCATCATACAGAGAGCCTGATGTGGGACTCAATCCAGGGTCTCCAGGATCACGCCCTGGGCTGCAGGCGGCGCTAAACCGCAGCACCACCAGGGCTGCCCGACAATAATTTTCTAAAATAGTTTTCTGTAGAGAGAATAAAAGAAAATTCATCCTTTTTTCTAGCATGGTTGATCAAAATTTGTCTTTTTTTTTTATAATCTTCTGGTTTTATTAACACACATATGACACGCATATCAGCTGTCTATTCATTTTTTTCACTGTGCAGCCTGGCATTAGGATTGGCGATTCTGATGGCCACCTAGGCAGTTCCTCCCACAATGGCTTTGCAGCTCTTGGAGGAGAGAGACATTGTGAGCAACACTATAGGCTCCTTGACCTCATGGACTAGGAACTTCTGGAAGCCACTGGACAGCATGCACTTTGCTTTCTTGTTGCTCACGTAACCACTGTTGGGCATCAAGATCTGGCCCTTGAATCTTCTGTGCACCCTACAGCTAGTACCTCTGGGTTTCCACCACTTGTGCTTCATTTTGACATCTGACTGGTGCTGGATGAACTTCTTGGTCCTCTTTTTAACAATCGTGGGCTTCACCAGAGGTCTGAGGATAGCCATGATGCCAAGTAAGAGATGGCTGCCAAAATTTGTCTTTTATTATTAATGGTTCAGATGCAAAAATAGGTGAATTCACATAGACCCACACACTGTTTGTAGCATTACTACATGCTCGTGTCTCATAAACAGGAATTTTGGTAAATTCTAAATTGTGTGATTCCATCAAAAATGAAAAAAGTGGGGCACCTGGGTAGTGCAGTTGGTTGAGCGTCTGATGCTTGGTTTTAGCTTGGGTTGTGGTCTTGGGGTTGTGAGATGGAGCCCTATGTCAGGCTCCATGCTCAGCGAGGAGTCTCCTTAGATTCTCTCTTCTCCCTCTACAACCTCCCACTCATACTCTCTTTCTCTCTCAAAAATAAATGAATTAATCTTAAAAAAATAAGAAAAGAAAAGAAAAAAGAAACTAGGGGGCATTATAACTGTATGATCAAGTATATTTCTGACAAGAGAATTTCCCTTTTGACCATGGGAGCTGAATTCTCCACTTACAAAAACACAGGTCTCCTAATTGGAAGCATTTCTCCTAGGTTGGTGTCTAACTCTGTACATTTTAAACCTTTCTCTTTCCTCCCTACTACATACTTCAATGTTGGGCAATGTAGGACATGTTCATGTGGTCTCACCTGCTGAGGTGGTGTAGGGAACTGGTAGGTGGGTATAGGAGTATTCTTGGGAGTTCTGGAGGGTTTGCAGTAATTCATCATATGCGGGGATGACTGTGAACCACATAAATATATCCTGCTAGAAACTCAGTGTCCTGGGACACCTGAGTGGTTCAGTCAGTTGGGTGTCTGCCTTTGGCTCCGGTCATGATCTCAGGGTCCTGGAATGGAGCCCTGCATCAGGCTCCGTGCTCAACTGGGAGCCTGCTTCTCCCTCTCCTATCTGCTCATGCTCTCTTGCGTGCTCTTGCTCTCTCTCAAATAAATAAATAAATAAATAAATACGTAAATAAATACAAAATAAATACATAAAATCTTTTTTTTAATTTTTATTTATTTATGATAATCACAGAGAGAGAGAGAGAGAGAGAGAGGCAGAGACACAGGCAGAGGGAGAAGCAGGCTCCATGCACCGGGAGCCCGATGTGGGATTCGATCCCGGGTCTCCAGGATCGCGCCCTGGGCCAAAGGCAGGCGCCAAACCCACTGCGCCACCCAGGGATCCCTAAATACATAAAATCTTAAAAAAAAAAAAAAAGAAAGAAAGAAAGAAAGAAAGAAAGAAAGAAAGAAAGAAAGAAAGAAAGAAAGAAAGAAACTCAGCATCTCATCAGTTTGACTCCTGCTCAGGTGTTCCCTGAATGCCAGGCCACTATAACATCACACAGCAGGAGGGCAGGCATAACAGAAGGGAAACTGGAATGGGGAGAATCAGTGCTCTTTCCACTTGTGGTGGAAACTTGACTTTGGCAGAGCTTAGAGAAACCCAAGACCATGTGCACATGTTTCTTTCCGGGGCCTTGGAAGGGGCTGCTGTGAGCAAGGACTCTGAAGCTTGAGCTCTGTGAGCTTCACAGTGACCTGGTTAAGCTGTTGTTTGTATTTGTGGTTAGAGAGGGCCATGCAGCCATTTAGGAGTGGTGTGACCTTGTCTCTTCATAAACCTGGGTTCCTCAGTAGTAAGCATGATACTGTTACTAGTATTTACTTCTTGGGAACATAAACATGAGGGCAGGCATGGGTCTGATTGTTTATTGCTGTCTCCATGGTGTCTAGAACACATAGCCCACACTCAACAAATACCTATTTTGTGGATGTCATGTGAAAAGCAGGATGTTGGGTGTTTAGGTCCAGGCTCTCAGAGAAAAAGAAACTGAGGCACAGTGAGCTTTCCTGTGCTGTGCACTGCCGCTGGTTAGACCCAAGGGAGACCCTGGGTCTGTGGGCCTCCTTTCTTCCCCCTGACCCTCCCACATGTGCTGTATAGGAAAGGGAAGCTTAACTCACTTCCGAGTGCCTGAGATAGTCATCTGAGTTGTTCCCTCTGTTATGGACATGAGCCAGGGTATCTGGGTCTCATCCCTGGAATTTGCTCTGATCCACAGAATCCACTGTTGTAGAGGCTCCCCTGCCTTCTCCTCCTCCCTGACCTGACCTGGGTCTCTGGAAATGGTGGGAGGCAAGCAGACAGTTGAAAGAACAAAGGTGAATGGTTTTGAGCCATAAAATAGTGAGCCTGAAAAACAAGTTTAGAAGATGAATGGCTTTGGGCTTGCAGAGCTTAGCAGGGGCAACCCTTAGAATTGTTGACATTCCCGCCTAAGAACTCCAGGAGGCCCTGCGTGGGCCAGAGCCCATCTATGCACAGCTCCCCTATGTTTGGATAGGTCGAGCAAAACTAGAAGTCGCTCTGTGACGTAAAATATTGGAGATGTGGCCAGAGGGGGGCCTCATCAGTCAGTGGTCATCTTGTCAGTACGTGACTGGAGCTGTGGTCTAAGGAGCCAGGTGGCTGCAGGTGGTCACTCTGCCAGACATGCAGAGCCGGTGACAGAACTGCAGTCTGGGCCCTATAGATGGATTGCACCTCTTTGCCCTACTTATCTGCCTGCTATGGATTTCCAGCCAAGCTCTGCACCAGTTCCCACCTCTGTTTTATTTTAATTTAATTTTATTTTATTTTATTTTATTTTTAAAAGATTTTATTTATTTATTCATGAGAAACACAGAGAGGCAGAGACACAGGCAGAGGGAGAAGCAGGCTCCTCACAGGGAGCCTGATACAGGGACTTGATCCCAGGACCCCAGGATCACAACCAGAGCCAAAGACAGATGCTCAACCACTGAGCCACCCAGGTCTTGCCCACCCGCCCCCCTTTTGTAGTACAAGCTGCCCTGATGGTGTGGGCCCAGCCTGGGATGCTTCCCCTTTCTATAGGGAGCTCAGACAAAGGATGAGGGTGCTCACTGCTCTTGTATACACCCCTCCCCCCATTAACAAGACAACTGGGATGTTGCAGCCTCTGCTTCCAGCCTGATTCTCCCTCCAGCCCTTGGATAATATTTATATACAAAAGCTGGTTCTCATCTCTACCCAGGAAAACACCAGCTGCTATTGAAAATCTTTTTTTGTATGTGATAGAGAGCAGAGCACTGGGCCTCACGTGGGCCCCTTTGAGCTTCTCTGAGGGTGTTAGGGAACAGCAAGTGCGTTTTATTTATGTTTTTCAAAGTCATCCCAGGGCTGTGTCCAGGCAACTGAAGGCCTGTCAGAGCCAAAAACGCTTCATTTCTTTTTAGAAAAGACAAAGGGATTAGGTGTCCTGGGGACTTTAACAAATGCATTGTTTGTGGATTTGATTGAGGTTTCATTGAGGAAAGGCAAATGCAGAAATGAGGATGCCAAAGATCCAGGCTGCCACTGTTGTGAAGATGCCTAGAGACAGGCATATATAAACTATTGGCCATGATGTCAATTAGTGCAGCCTCTTGGAGAGAAATTTGGCAACATCTTTCATAAAAGATGAGTATGACCTTTGATGCAGCAATTCCATTCCTTGGAAACTATCCTAGAGTGGTGTTTACCCATGTATACAAAGATCTATGTTCAGAAATGCAAAAAATAGGAAATCACCAATGTGTCTCTCACCAGGGGACAGGCTTAATAAATTATAGTTCATCCAAATGATGGAACACTGAGCATTAAGGAAGAGAACAAAGCAAATATAGTAGATCCCCCCCACCCCTACCATTCAAAGTTTTCCTTTTCAGAGTTCTAGATACAGCAGATGACCCTCTTGAAGAATCTGCAGAAGGTCCAAAGTAGCCTAACGCTATGCCATGGTGCCTGTATTGTTCACCTCACCTCATCTCATCATGGAGGCATTTTATCATCTCACTTCATCACAGAAAGGAAGATGAGTACAGTACATAAAATATTTTGACAGAAAGGAAGAGAACACATTCACCTAAATTTTATTACAGTATATTGTTATAATTGTTCTATTTTATTATTGGTTACTATTGTTAATCTGTTACTGTTCCAGATTCTCTTTTTTTTTTTTTTTTTTAAGATTTTATTTATTGGGGATCCCTGGGTGGCGCAGCGGTTTAGCGCCTGCCTTTGGCCCAGGGCGTGATCCTGGAGACCCGGGATCGAATCCCACGTCGGGCTCCTGGTTCATGGAGCCTGCTTCTCCCTCTGCCTGTGTCTCTGCCTCTCTCTCTCTCTCTGTGTGTGTGTGTGTGTGACTATCATAAATAAATAAAAATTTTAAAAAAATTTTAACAAAAGATTTTATTTATTTATTCATGAGAAAGGGAGAGAGAGAGGCGGAGACACAGGCAGAGGGAGAAGCAGGCTTCTGCAGGGAGGCCAACACGGGACTTGATCCTGGGACTCCAGGATCACGCCCTGGGCCAAAGGCAGGCACTAAACTGCTGAGCCACCCAGGGATTCCTACTGTGCCAGATTCTTAAGTTAAAATTTATCATAGGTATGTATGTAGGAAAAAACATGGTATATATAGGACTTGGAATGATCCATGGTTTCTAGCATCCATGGGGTGTCGTGGAATGTACTGCCTGTGGATAAACAGCTCTACTACAATGAGACAGCCCACATATAGTACTTACTCTACAAACTATACTAAGTGCTTTATGTATTTTATATCTACATATTTACAATACAACTCATTCATTCTTCACAGTAGTCCTTTGGTTACTATTAGAATATTTTTTTGAATGGGGAAAAAGATATTAAATAATTTGCCTAAGATCAATAACTAGTAAGTGAGGGAGCTGGATGGCCCCAAGGTCTAGAACCACCACACAAATGCCTGTAAGTCCAGATAAAGAAAGATGCCATTGAGTTATTCTCAAGTGAAAAATTCAAGTAGTAGAGAGTGTGATCTTATTTGTATGAAAATAATTTGTGTGCACACACATGCGTGCATATGTGAATCTGTCACATGTATATGTAAAATTTCGGTGTGGAAGGATGCATACCCAGGAGCAGTTCCCTGCAAGGACAGATAGGAGATGGCATGTGGAAAGAGG